GTCTAAATGTGCCAGTGTAGACAGAACACAGGTCTCCATGACACAGTATAGACAGAACATGATGAGACGTAAATGTGCCAGGGCAGACAGAACACAGGTCTCCATGATGCCGTACAGACAGAACATAGTTAGGGCTCCATGATGCAGCATACACAACACTGTCAGGTCTAAACATCCCCATGTAGACAGAGCATGTGTGAGATGTAAATGTGCCAGTGTAGACAGAAGAGTCAATTTCAATAACAGTGAGTAGAAAGAACACTGTCAGGTCTAAGTATGTCAGTGTAGACAGAACATGCTCTGGTCTAAATGTCCCAGTGTAGACAAAACACACTCTGGTCTAAATGTGTCCGTGTAGACAGAACACATTAGGACTCCATGACACAGTATAGATAAAACGTAATCCCGCCTAAATGTGCCAGTGTAGACAGAAAATTCAGTTCCCATAACACAGGATAGAAGGAACACTGTCAGGTCTAAACGTGCCAGTGTAGACAGAACTTGCTCCGGTCTAAATGCCCCAGTGTAGACAGAACTCACTGGATGAACTCACTTCTGCAGGACAGGTCAGGCCTAATGGTCCCGTGGTGCAGAGCCCGGTGTTCTCATTTGAAACAGCATGCCGTGGGACCCAAGTGCACTCACCGTGGGCTGAGCGCGGTCAAGTCCTATCCTGCTGTGGACAAGACTGGGAAGCTCTACCGCACTCAGTGTGGACAGGATGGGGTCAGGTCTGGTCGAGCCCTGCCTCGCTGCAGGCTAGACACGGTGAGGTCTGCCCGCACAGTGCCGGCAGAACCCTGTCCCCAGGGCCAGTCAGTGTGGCTCTCGTGGGAGCCAGGCACGTGGCCGTAGTCCCTTGTTGGTGATCAGGGCGCTCACCCCATGCTGAGAAGGCACAGGAACTAACCCGGGGCTTCGCTGGCCTCCGGCAGGCTGGGAAACCACACAGAACTACCCCACTCGTAAACTCTGGAATGTGTGTTACCAGTTTCTCGGGCCACATGATGGTCAGGATCCAGGGGTAAGCCAGAAACTTCTTGTAATACAGCCCGGTCTCCTGCAGGGACAGACGAGATGTGCTGGTGAAGTCCCTCGTCCCCAGACCTGCAGCGGGTCCTGGCAGGACGGGCTGTGCGGCACAGGGCACCGGAGCTGGTCCGCCTCCCCTGGCGGATCCCAGAGGCCGAGGCCCGTGGGGGGTGCCGGGGGGGGGGGGGGGGGGGGGAATGGTTCCAAGCAGCCAACAGCATGGAGGGTCTATCTCTACAAAAACAGTCCACGGACACCTCTACATCAGTGCCCTCGTGGGGGCGCGGACGGACTATCTGTGGCACTCAGCCCCTTCATGGACTCAGCTGACCTTGGAGCATGCACTGTGTCATCTCTAGAGGCCAGAATGGGGAGACACCGTGGCACAGACACCAGTCTGCACAGAGGACTCGGGAGCATCGGAGCCTCTCACGCTCCGTGGCCACGGCTCCATACGGCAGTGCCATGGCCGTGCATGTCACCCCACCCGTGGTGGGCCCTGCACGCTGTAGCATTTCCCTACGTGTCCAGGGGTCTGCTCTTTGGGAAGCGCAGGTTCTCCCACGAGGCACACAGGCTGGGGGTCGGCAAAGCCTCCAGTGCTGCTCCTGAGGTGGGGGAGACTGAACGGGACCCTGATCTGGCACTGGGGGCTCTCCGAGGAAAGAGGCCCGATGGAGTCAGCCGTGCCGAGTGATCCCAAGGAAGGAGCTAAGTTCAGGGACACTGAGGCCGGAAGCAAAGTAGGGGCGTCCTCCTCAACTACGGGCCTGGGCTCTCCCACATGCTGAACGTGCGGGCTTCAAGAGAGCTCTGGGACAGACAGCTAAGTGTCACATGGCGTCCTTAGCTGGACCCTGCATGGGACAGAGACAGAACGTGAAGGACATTCCTGAGACAGGCATGGTAATATGTACAGACCCCTCACATGGACGCTGCCCTCCAGCAGCTCGGAGTGCCCGAGAGAGGACAGGACCATGGTCACACGGGAGTGCTCACTGTTACACACCAGACACAGCCAGGGCCAGGTCACTCTGCAGGCCCCTCGCAAGTGACTGTGGTGAACACACACAGAGGGGCAAACACACGTGTGCACATGCACGGACCTGCACACACACTCACATGTGCACAGTGCACGCATGCACTCGCTCGCCCGTGTGTGGAGTGCTCACGTACGTGTGTGTGCAGCACTGAGGCACACACACGGGGATAAGGTGAAGACGGCACATGAACACACACTCGCTCCCTCGTGTGCAGAGTGCGCACGCATGTGCGTGCATGGCAGAGACAGACGTGCATGCGTGGGGGGTAAGCTGCAGATGGCACATGTATGCACGCATGTGCTCACTCACGTGCTGTGCATACACATGTGCAAGCACAGCACAGAGGCACACATGCACGCATGTGGGATAAGGTGAAGGGAGTGCACACACACGTGCAATCTCTCACTCATGCGTATCCTATACACACGGGTGCGTACACAGCACTGAGGCACATGCGTATACATGGGGGATAAGAGAAAGCACACATGCGTGTTATCACCCACTCACATGTACCACATACACATGAATGCACGGCAGAGGCACACGTGCATGCATGGGGATAAGAGAAAGACGGCACACACACGTGCATTGGCTCACTCACATGTACCACGCACATGCGTGTGCATGCATGGCACAGAGGCACACGGGCAGGCGTGGGGATATGGTGAAGACGGGAGAGCATTAGCTGCTGAACACAGGTGAAGTTTATGTGTTCCTCCCCTTTTCTTAGGTTTGACACAGTTACAAATAAAAAGTTAAAGGAAAAAGTCACTGTTCACGGACTTGATTCCCAAGACTTTCTGGAGACACTTTCTAAGTATTTTAGGGTGTGAGAAATTTTGTAGATATTAAGTCTGTTCACTGACAGGATGAGTCCGTCAGCAAAGTATGAGCCACACACACAGCGGCCAAAGATGCCATCTTGAAGAGGAAGGACGTTCTGCACCTGCTGGGACGTGGCTGGGCCTTGAGGACATCAGCCAGACCCAGAAGGACCAACCCTGCCTGATTCCACATACACAGGGTCCCTAGCGGAGCCCCATCCACAGAGACAGACAGTAGACGGTGGGCCTGGGGCTGGGGGACGGGGATGGGGAGACAGTGTTTGATGAGGGCAGAGCTTTGTGTTGGGAAGATGGAAAGTTCCGGAGCCGGAATGTGGGGATGGTCGCACAACAGCGTGAATGCACTCGGTGCCACTGAGCTGTGCGCTCGAGAGGGTTAAGACAGCAAAGTGTAAGCTGGGTGTCCTTTACCACAACGGAAAAGAACGTCTGAAACAAGAGAAAACGGCCTTTCCATGCAACGAGGCGTGAGGTCACTCGCAGCCTGGGGACCTGAACCGTGCACTCGATGAGGAGACTGGCAAAACGGACGCGGCATCAGACACGGACGGGGGTGCGGACCCACGCAGCCTCACACACACGTGGAGGGGCCGTGAGAACAAGTCGGCGTCACAGCATGAAGCAAAACGAGCACGCACTCTGACCCTTTGTCACATGCAAACAGGGGCCCACGTGCAGTAGGACCCACAGACACACACGTCCACAGCCACACACAGACCAAGCCCGAAACCAACCGGACGCTGTCCGAAGCAGAATGGGGACGTGACCCACACACACACATGCGATGGAACATTCCACAGCCAGGACACGGACGTTTACTGGGCAGGAATCACGTGTGTAAAAACTGTTCCTTAAATCGTGTGCGCCTGGGACAGAAGAGCCTCACAGACACCGCCCCAAGCACGGTGCCTCCCGGGCCCGGAGCTGGAAGCCGGCCGAGTGCGACCGGCACGCGCAGGACCCTGAGTGCACCAGAGCCCGAGCACGGGAACACCATGAGCACCAAGTTCGGGACCGCAGTCCTCCCACCGCGGGGAGGAGCTCAGGATGGGCACAGGGCGTGTCTGGGCACCCGCTGGCCTCGCTCTGTGTCTCCCCTTCCACGACGGCCTCCTGAGTACCGTTTTATAGCCACATTTTGCCGTGCAGGACAGAGTCCCACCTTTGATTCAGGTTCACGTTTTTCTTTATAAAGAAAGGTGGTCCTGCCCGTGAAGCCCTGGGCAGCCTCTCCTCACAGGGGAGCAGAGGAGGACAGCTTCTGGCCGGGAGATGGAGATGCCTCAGCTCGTCCCACCCCCCAGCCTGACTGCAAACCCACGTGCCCGGGGGGTCCAGGGCACCGACCTCGGGCCCCAGGCTCACGGAGTGCCCGGAGCCCGTCCCACCTGGTCAAACTTCTCTGTCATTTTGTGCACCACATTCTTGCCTTCGTGGCTCTGGTACAACTCAGCCGTCACCATCCCTGCGAGAGAAAGAAGGAAACGCGCTTGAAGCCAACCCTCCTTGTCCCAGGGCATGACGCCTCGTCCCCGAGAGAGAACGGCAAAGCCGCGGAATGCAGCCTTGGCGGCTGGGGTCCGCAAGCACTGTGCCCTGCGTGTCTGTCACCATGGGGCTTCTGTGAGGCACCCTCAGGGCGCCCGGCCGGACACCACTGGACCTTCTCCAGAGGCAGGTCCTGCCCCCACAGCTGCTGCGTCAGGGTCCAGAGGGAGGGAAGGCTCCGACTGTTTGCTGGTGCCGACGGCTGACAGCAAGGACACAGTACAACAGACTCCCTCACAGTATGCACCTCCGTGGTGCACACACACGCTGTGGTTGCCCGTCGCCACAGCTTCCACCCCCCACACGTGGGTGGTCCCCTCTCATTTCTGTGGTCCCCTCTCATTTCCGTGGCCCCAGGAACCACGGAGACCCCGCCCGCCTGCAGACATGCCATTCTGGACATTTTGTGCACAGCCCGTGTGGCCCGTGGCATCTGCATCTCTCCCCAAGCACCGTGAGTCTCGCGTCCACGCCTGTGGCCCCGGGGGTTGGCGCTTCCCCGCTGTGATTCTCACGCTCTCCCCAGAGTGATTCTCACACTCTGAGAGTTTCGTCACCCCCTTGCGCATGGCTGGGGGAGCACTGAGCCCGTCCATGGGCGCCAGGCAGGAGACACAGTGTGGCCCTCTGGCAAAGCCCACCCACACCAACCCCCAACTGGGAAGCAGCTGAGCCTCCAGGGCAGGGTCCTTCCTGCCTCTTCCAGCCTCTGGGGCTCCGGGCATCCCTGGGCTGGTGGCCACGTCCCTCCCATCTGTGCCTCCGTCCTCACGTGGCTTCTCCTCTGTGTCTGTCCCTCCTCTTTTTTTTCTACGGTTTTATTTATTTATTTTAGAGAGACAGTGAGCACGAGCAGGAGAGGCAAGAGAGAGGATGTCAGAGAATGTCAGGTAGACGCCCCGCAGAGCACGGAGCCTGACTTGCGGTGTGATCCCAGAACCCAGAGATCACGACCTGAGCCGAACACGAGACTCAGAGGCTTAAGAGACTGAACCTCTCAGGCCCCCGTGTCCCTGCTCTTACGAGGACCAAGTCTCACAGGACTAGGGCCACCCGAAAGACTCTCTTACTGCTCACACCTACAAAGGTCCTTCTCTATGAGGTCGCATCCTGAGGTCCTGGGGTCAGGACGTGGACAGATCTCTTCTCGGGCAGTCAGCCGCTGCTCTGAGGTAACAGTGCTCGCACAGACAAGTCTCCTACCAAAAAAAGCCTCTGGAAAAGCCCAGCCCACCCAGTCTCTTACATGCATGGACAGGACGGGCAGGCCCAGCAGGCCCCCATGTGGTGACGCCCGCGAGCGTCCAGGAGCCCGGCTCACCTTCACAGCCACAGCACTGGACAAAGAAGCTGATGAGGTCCAGCAAGGCCAGCTCCCGGTCCTCCTTGTAGGACCGCACCCACTCCTCGACGGCCGTCTGCTGGGCAAAAGCCAGAGATGAGCACATGTGTGATGAGGTGTGTGGAACCGGCCAGATGTGAGGACACGTGTGATCATGCGTCTGACCCAGCAAGGAGCACTTGTGCGTGCAAGCGTGTATGTGATCAGGTGCGCGTGATGGCCAGTGGTGAGCACGTGTGTATGATCAGGTGTGGGACGGCAGCGTGAGCACGTGTGTATGATCAGGTGTGGGACGGCAGCGGTGAGCATGTGTGTGGGATCAGGTGTGGGACAGCAGCGGTGAGCACGTGTGTGCGATCAGGTGTGCGCGATGGACAACAGTGAGCACCTGTGTATGATCAGGTGTGGGACAGCAGCGTGAGCACGTGTGTGGGATCAGGTGTGGGACGGGCAGCGGTGAGCACGTGTGTGCGATCAGGTGTGGGACGGGCAGCGGTGAGCACGTGTGTGGGATCAGGTGTGGGACGGGCAGCGGTAAGCACGTGTGTGGGATCAGGTGGGGGACGGGCAGCGGTGAGCACGTGTGTGCGATCAGGTGTGGGACGGCAGCGTGAGCATGTGTGTGCGATCAGGTGTGCGCGATGGACAACGGTGAGCACCTGTGTATGATCAGGTGTGGGACGGGCAGCGGTGAGCACGTGTGTGGGATCAGGTGTGGGACGGCAGCGTGAGCACGTGTGTGCGATCAGGTGT